CTCACCAATGACCGAGAAGCACAGGATCCTCATTGCTACACCTGCTACTCAACAAACAGGAAGCTGCTGTATGATGGAATTTCTGAACTGAGTGCAGCCTGAAGTAGGAATTCGGTGCCCCGTTTCACTACCGTTCCACTACCGTGTTTGATCTCCGGATCTTCACCTTTTGCACTTCACATCTTGAGAGGATATGAGCCTGATTCTTTTCGGTTGGCTTGTTGGGTTTTTTTGTTTGTTTTGTTTGTGGTGTGTTTGGGTGTTTGTTGGTGTTTGGTTTTTGGTTTCTGTTGCTGCGCCTCTTTGAGTCAGGCTCGTATCTCCTCACCCCACTATTTGAATTCATTTAAGGTGACTTGTGCCTCTCGGCACACACAGCGCCCGTACCCGTGCAAAAAAAAAGGGCCACTCTTCCGACGGCTCCGGCTCGCTACGTTGCAATCCCTACTTACCAGGAGATAACTTTTCTGGATGTGCAGCACCCAGTGCACAGTGGAGTGCACAGCAGCGGCCTGCTGTTTGGACATGCAGCGGACTTGGCAGGTTCTTCCCGATGGAAGCCACCGAACGCCTGGCGGCTCCCACATGCAGCCTGCCTGCTGAGAGGGACGAGGCATTTGGGCCAGAGACGGTTCTTTGCCTCGTAAAGGGAGCACGAGGTCTGAGCAGGAATGGTCTCATTCAGACGTCAACATCAATCACTTCGTCCGTGGTGCCCCTCTCTGTTTCTTCCGCTCGTTCTCCTTCTGTATGCTCCCTTTGGTCTGCGGCCCTCGTCGCTTCTGTGGCAACTGGACTCGCTGGGATTGCATTCATGACATTCTTGTATTTTGTCACCTTCGCTCATGGAGGTGATTGTCTCTATCGGTGCCTCTTCATCAGAAGGCTCCGTATCATTGTTCTGAGAGCACACATTGTCTTCTTCTGTGCTGCCTATTGTAATGGGGGAAGTAGGGGATGCCGTTGCTGGGCTTCTGCTGTCTGGCTCAGGCATCTCACTGGGGCGCAGCTTCTTCACTTCCCTCTGAGCTGGTGTCAGTGAGACTGATTTCAGCCAAGGCAACAGCTTCCTGTGTGTTGTGCGAGTCAGTGGCATCAGCCGGGTGCATGTGTTGTTGACGCCAGTAACAACCATTTTGCAACAGGCCTGGTCGAGGGGGAAGACGAAGGGGGGATTCCGGTTGGTTCAGCTCAATGTTCCACCTCCAGGCATCATAGAAGTGGGTCTTATGGAGTGATTCGAACTGATACTCCTTTGCCTTGTTGGCAGCATCATCAGCTTGCCCTGGGGTGCAGCGGCTGCAGCTGCCAACGCTAAACCTATCACCCCCTTTGCGGCCAATGGCTGCACCTCCACCTCCTGCAGGGGTAACCGCAGACATGGAAAAAACAGGCATGAAGCGGCCTGCCTCCATAGGCAGTGCTAAATGATGGTCATTCTGAACTGAGTGCAGCCCAAGCTTAGACTTCATTGCTCCGTTTCACACCCTTGTTGGATCTTCAGATCTTCACCCTTTTCTCACTTTTCGAGCGGATATGAGCCTGTTCCGCTTCGTTTTGGTTTTGGTTGTTTTGTGTTTGGTTGTTTGTTTGTTTTGCTTTCTGTTGTTGGGCCTCTTTGGTTCAGGCTCGTATCTTCTCATCCTACTCTTCGAATTCATCCAAGGTGACTTGTGCCTCTCGGCACACACAGCGCCCGTACCCGTGCAAAAAAAAAGGCCTGCCTCCACAGGCAGTCACAACAGCTCGAGTGGACCCGGAAAGCACATCCTCCAATAGTCCAACAAGCCCGGCTGAGCAGGGAAACCAGGGTGCAGCTGAGGCCCCCACCCCCCCAAACAGCCTCACAACCAAAGCCGCAAGGACCCCTGGCGGTCAAATCCAAAGCAGCAAAACCGGCCATGGACCAGCAGCAGAGGGGCCCAGAACAAGGGCTGATCAATGCAATACATTCCCGACTTCAAACACCTCCGGCGCCACCGACAGGTCTGCTCAGCGTTGTCACAGCAAGACCTCCCGCAATGGGTGCCACCGAGCCGCAAATGCCTGCGGCGCCTGCCAATGACCAAAGCACTCACACATCAACAGAGGCTGCTGCCCCACCAAAGAAATATACCTCCAGGAGGTAGAAGAACAGTCTGGATCGGTGGACACCGAGATTACCCAGCGTGCAGAGCAGAGAGCGATGCATATAGTACACCGCTACCAAACACTCTCAGTCGAAATGGCTGCCCGCGCAAGTGCAGAGACTGCAGAGACGCTCGAGGCTCTGCCCCCTGTGGCGCCCCCGGTCAGTTTGTATGCTAACTTGCCGCAAGAGTGGCCCTCAGCACGCCTTAGTGTCCAATTGCGCCACATTGGGGTACTGCTTAGGGTTACCCTCAACCGCCGAGTTGCTGAGCTCAGTTTTAGAGGGATCGAATTTTGCCGGCTGCCGCGGGAAGTCATGAAAGACATTTGCCATGACTTCGATAATATCTGTGGAGAAATGGCTAATCGACTAGCGTCGCTCTTCGCATTTCTCAAACCAGCAACCAATGGGACCAAACACTCTGACCCCATGGGCTTGTCGCTGTATGCTGACCCAGGCTATTGGCTGTATGGCCTCGTGTCCTTTTGCGCCAAAGCATGCGAGTCCAAAACAGTGGAGGCAAATGGTGGATGAACGAGGTACGCCGGCGCTAGAAGCTACTGGCAAGACCCTGGCGCTTATGCAGACAGTGGTCATGTCCTTTGGCCGCAATCAAAGCGTCGGCAAACCGGACCTCCCTATTCATCACCTGCATGTACACTTTCCCGTACAACTGGTACACAAACTTGTTGAACGCATGGACAGTTTGCGTTTCACAGATGCCACGCCAGAGGATGGGAAGAAATACAAGCACAACCTCGAAAGTGAGGCCAACAGCCCATACATTGTGGTGGGTACATACGAAGGGGTATGCCCCTCTAGTACCTTCGCTGCCCTTCCGGACACGCCTAGACTAGCAGGCGCATATGCATATGGAATCCTTGACGGCAATCTGGGACAAATGGTCTCTTTTCAGTCCACCTATAAAAGCACCCTTCGAATTGAAGTACCAGTGTGGCCGGAGGTACAGCAAGCAGTGCTGACCACAAATAAGGCCAAGCGCTATCCGGGAAGCCCGAAGACTGCCCCTCCCCTTCCCCCCGATGGAGGCAACAGCCAGGGAGTAGTACCAGAACCACACACTCAGGTAAACATGACTAAAGAGCCCACAGGTGCAGGGAACGTTGAAGAGGAGGAGGAGGAGGAAGTTGCCGCCGGATGGACAAGGTTGCTTCTCCTTCCGACAAAGCCTCTTGCTCAGAGCCAAGGATACTTATGCGGCGCGCAGCAATGGCAATAAGTACGAAATAATCTCCAAATGGCTCCTCACTGGCCTTGCGGTAGTCCTCTCTCGACCCAATTGGCATATTCTGGCCAAAAGATGCACCTTGACGTCCACCCCTCGAGAACTACTCAGGCTCTACTATCGACAAGGACACCCGGCTGACCTAGCTGACAAAACAAAGCTGCCTTATGCTCTCCCTCGGCATAATGCCGTCCAGGATGCCGAGTGGCAACACACAGTCGAGTGGTTCAGCCATGCAAGATACCTTCAGGACATGGAAGCTGTCATCGCAGAGCGCACATGGTCAGGGATCGACACTTTCTATACGAAAATGGACCAAACAAATCCAATTAAAGCTGCCCAGGCAGAACCTGAGCGAGCAAGCTCACCAATTGAGCAAACCATGGCTGCGGCGAGCACTTCTTCTGGCCTCTGCCCTGATGACAAGGCAAAAAAGAATAGTGCTGTTTAGGCGTGTGCAGCACTGGTATGAAAACGCAAACGTGGCTGACATTGGCTCAAACCAGTCATAGTTGCAACAGTTGCACGGTTGGCCTCTGGTGGTTACTTGATGGATAAGAGGCTGCGGCAATGATGACTTTGCCGGCCCCTGCCCCTGCCCCCTCAAGTTACCTAGACAATCCAACGTTGCCCAAAGGACACTATCAGCCACAAACGACAATATTGAGAGCAAACGTTGTCGTTTGCATCGGATGTGATTGGCAATCAAATTATATAAGCATGAGGCTTTTTATACCATCGCTTTCTGCGAGATCAGGAAAACAGAGTATAGCAAAACACAAAAGGGATATGAAGCGAAAAATTGAGTAAAAACTAAAAACGACAGCGGCGCAAACGACCACGGCGCAAACGAGCACGGTGCAAACGATCATTGTTGCACGACGCAAACGACCACGGTGCAAACGATCACGGTGCAAACGATCATTGTTGCGCGACGCAAACGACCACGGTGCAAACGATCACGGTTGCGCGATGGAAACGACCATGATTAAAACAAAGATATGTATACACATATAACAATGTGTGCGCTGCCAAAGTAAAGTCGAGCAAACACAGTTGTGTCACGCATGTTTTTTTACAGGGTCTACTTTGGCAACGAAAGGCTGCAGAAACAGGGAAGGAAAAAGTACGAAGACTTTGTTCTCATTCATGTTGTTTGGATTTGTTTTTAAACACCGAAGGGAAACCAGACCGTGGAGTCTTTGCTTCATGCAGTGCGCTTTGCGGATGGAGCTGTTGCCAGCCGTGGATCGTAGAATCATTTGCAAACATTTCGAAAAAACATCAACATCAAATAAAAAACACATCCCAACTTCACACAACATCAACAAAAACACCACATCCCAACTTCACACTTCTCTTGACAAACGCTACGAAACTGTTCTAGACATGAGCGGTGCCCGCGACTGTTCCAAACATACATCGGCCGCCGGCCGCGTGGATTGCATGGACGGTTGCAGGCCATCGGTTTTTCTTGCGCCGACGACTCAGTATGTTCAGCTTTCAAGACGTAGCTTCGGCTAGCTTGAGACGACCCCCACACAAACACCTGATGGGAATAAGTCTTGAACAGGAGTATCTTTACGGTAACTTTTGAAGGCGTCTAAATACACAACCCAGTTTCTATCCCCATCGGCGTTCTGTCTTGTCAAAGTCATTTAGGCAAATCGCTAAGCACAGCAAATAGCGTTGGAGCACTCTCTGAGTGCAAGTGCGGCCGTGACAGCGAATTGCAACAGCCTTGATCTTCCCGAGGAAGGATTCCTCACTAAAGTTGTGATACATGGATGGGTTGATCCGAGTACTGATCACTTCTTCCCCCATGTGGAAATGGTAGTGGGACTTGCATCGGAGCTTAAAGAGCAATTCCCTTCTAGAATATAAATGAGCACTGAGCCAATAGTAGGCCTTCAGGTGTAGATCTAGACATGTCTTTGCCTCACTTGCTTCGTCAGTCGTGAAGATCATTCCCCCATGGTCCATCAGCTCAATGAATCTCTGAAGGCCCCAAACCGATGTCGCCAGCACGTTGAGGACTGGTTCCTGGGCGGCTGGGCGGGTCCAAATGTTTCGCGTTTAAACCTGTTGGGTAGATTCGGAAGAACCCGAACACAAGACACAGGTTTTGGTGCATGTTCAATCAAGTAGCAGATGGGTTCGCGTCTGCCACCATCTGGCATTCTTTGGAGAGCCACCAAATGATCAATTTAACATGCGCTGCCTTGAATCGAGACCCCAATTCAAAGTATCCATCTTCCCCACCAAGATTAGCAGAAGTGAACCGCGGCTTGGCAGGAATACGGATCCTTGACTGGTTATATATAGAGGTAGTCCCCAGAACACCAAGAATACAAAACACACCCAAACCTGAAAGCTTTACATGTTCGGTGGGGCAGGAAGCTTGTGTTGGGCGCAAACATCTCGCATGCGTTGGTGAACATCAGTTAGTACAGCGTCCATGCCCCCAGCATCGCTGCCACCACCGAACCCACAGTAGTCAATTAAGACTTTGATGGCGCTAGCGCACAAATCTCTACCAGTTCCCAGGTAGCAATTGTGCATCCAGTCATAGCTGATGGTGTAAAAATGAAATCCGGGCATGTCCTTCCAGGGGGAAAGTGATGATGCCTCTAAGTTCATATACGTCCGATGGTTTATCCCAGTCAGCTGCCGTATGGACATGTAGTAGGGACTATCTTTGGAACTGCGTGTCCTGCGCTTTCCTGTTGCTACACCATGTTTTGAAGAAGTCTAACTTCGCCAACTTGGGGTAGACGCAATCACCAAAGCAACGAAGGGTCTCCAAGCACCACTCTTGATATGATGTCCATTCTGCCTCCTCCAACTTGGACATCACCTGGGATTCCAAGTCGTTGTGGACACTCTGGACAAGTTGATGGAGCCGGTTCTCCTTCTCCTCCTGTCGGCTGTAATGATTGATGGCCTTCCCCATCCAGCCTGACGAGACCTGGGAATCACGATGCGATGAGCTGCAGGATGAGTCAACCGATGTAGCCGACACACCAGACTTGTCAGACTTGGGCGATTCGCCAAGACGAAGTGTGGGTGAGTCTCCACCCGTTTGCAAGACGGCATTAGACTCAGACTCAGAGCCATCGCTTTCATCGTCATTCTCAGAATGATGACCACAAGAAGGCTCACGCTCGACAAGTTGATCATCATCTTGACCACGAGAAGGCCCACGCCCGACAATTTCATCACCATCATCAATGGGCTCACCATCAAGCGATTCTGAATCACTTGGTTCTGAGTCTGGCTTCGCAACACTGGCCCAACCGTCATTCTCAGCCGGACCATCCGGCAAAGCGGCTTCGTCACCCGAGTCTGGCGCCTTGGTGGGTGACCTTTCAAGGAAACTCTTCAAGTGGGTGATCTTCTCGTCTTGGCCATTGGTTTTGTTGGATCTCCACAAGTTGCGAAGAGCGCCAAGTACCCTCTTGAGTTTCACACCCTCCTGTCCTGCGAGGGAAAGCTTGCCCTCATTCTCCCTTGGAACAAGCATCTTCTTGTCCAACATAGAGTCGAGCATCAAAAAGACATCTGTCAGAAAGTAGGCAGACGGGACCTGCGCATGCGGCTTCGGTCTGTCCAAACACCCACGAGATATAACAAAACGGCGGAGCTAATCGTTGGGTTTGTTTTGAAACAAACGAAACAAACCTATTGGCAATCCTGGCCTTGGATGGCCATGTCTTCACAACTGGAAGCAACCACACGTAGTTGCGGCTGATCTCTTTGGCACTCGGAGTTCGGATCATGCTTGTGTCACCCAGATCCACCAAAGCAGACCCCTTGTAGTCAGGGTCATTGAAAATCGCTATGAGTCCAAGCGGGAGGTTTTCCTTCATGAACTTGGCCAAAGATACCTCAGATCAAGTGCACATTCCACCCAGTTGTATGGAGACAGGGTGACAACCTTCGCTATAATCATTTCGGCTTGTGAGAAGGAGCGCTGAGCACTAACCCCAAAGACGAATCGAACCGCCAAATAGTTTCTGTGCGTTTGTGGGTTGGGGCTTGGCCGGACAAAGTTTCCAAACTCGGAGTTTATACCAAGATGCGACATCTCCTTCGGTCCACGAAATTTTCCCAGGCCCTTGGAACAATCGGCGACATCCCTGGTCCCCAAGTCTATTCTAGGTCCGGTGTCCCTTCTCTTAAAGGTTGAGTTTCAATTTCATGCAACTTGCCGTCATCTAAGGAAACCTGAGGAGAAGGCGGACTGAGCGCCACTTCTGGGGCAGCTTCGAGGCCATGTTGATCGCGGGGCAGAGCACGAGGTCAAGGAAACAAACTTGACTGCGGTTTTTCGTGAAAGGAGACTGCACTGCATGTTTGTTGGACTGCCACTTAAGAAGCTGAAGAATTGAACGCAACAACGCCCCCACAAATTGTTCCACGACCCACGCAGTGCATGGGCACTTGGTGAAAAGGCGAAAACGCTCTCCCCCACGTTCCGCCTCGGGTCGGGCAAAGAAGCGATGCCAAGCCGACTATCTAGAAAAGGATTGTTTCAAGAATGTTTCACTGGACTTGACCGTTTTGAAGATATAAGTGTTGAGTGTTGGCTCTGATGAATCGTCGGCATGGCTCCGCTTTAGCTGGGATTCCATGCCGCGTTGACAGCTGCAAGAGCTCCCCCTCCAAATGGCCATGGTACACTGCAAGCGCACCGAATGGCCCCCTCGAAGTGGTATAGCTGTAGATTGTTGCTACATTTTTACCGATGAGCCTCTTTCGCCTTCAAGAATCAAGAACACCCGAGGCAAAATCAAACAAGCGATGTGTAGGTGGCATGTTTCATATACTGCAAAGCTGTGCGCGGCTGAACCGCGGTTGGGATGCTCGAGCCGGCCGTCACCTGGTGGCCAAAACAGGCGTTTCCGATGCGTCCGTGAGACCACAAACCCATGATCAAAAATAGATGTGTACCTGTGCGTGTTTTTTTCGAAGGCCACGGGCCATAAAGGTGATACAGAGGTATGCAAAAAAAACGAATCTAAGAAACTGTCAGACAAACACAACCTGCACCACACATACTTGTTCTTGTTTGCGCGCCACTTGTGCAACACTTGCGATTTTTTAATGCGCGCGCTCACGCAGCATGCCATGTATGCGGTCAGCCCGCTTGATAGCATGCAGGGTCGAACACTTTGCAGGCAAGAAAGCTGACAACTTTGCAGGCGTCCATTGCCATCATAGTAGCGGAGCTGGGGCACCCCCAAAAGCAGCTACAAACGGCAGCTTTTCTACAAAAGGCAAGCGCCGGTGTAATTTGGAGAAACGTTGTCCAAAGGACAGGTTTGGATTGTCTAGGTAGTCACCATGGCAGGCAATGAACTTGAAGTGATAGTTCCGGTCAGCATTTACCATCATTGGGAAATGCTGGAAGACCATTTGGTCGAACTGCTATCCAAAAGCTTCGGCCTAGACACTTTTGGATGTGAGTTGACGCTCCTTACAGAGGACACCCTCTGCCCCCTCAGTGACCCTATCCATGAAGAGCTTTGGGATGGTAAGGGATTTCATTTGGTCATCCAAAAAAGCTTACGAAAAGTGAGCTTGAAGGAGCAAATCCAACGAGATGTATATGAAGATCACCCCAAAGCCATTTGGGTCCCGGCAAATAAATCAGGCATCCTCCCTGCCAAAGCTTTTTTCTCCATTGCCCGCCTTCGGCATGTGCAAGTAGAAGCAGGCTTTCACACCATTGAGCGGCAGGCGTGGCGCTATTGCCACACCCTCACCATTGTCAAATTGCCCAGCTCCGTGGTTGCAATTGAGAATGCTGCCTTCCAAGGGTGCTATGCGCTCACCACCGTGGCAATGCCAGGATGCGTGTCTCTTGGAGCCAGACTCTTTGCAGAATGCTGTGCCCTCGAGCGGGTAGGGGTGCTCACAGAAAACTCTTGCCGACTGGCCAGTGGAGCTACCATTTCCCCCTATGCCTTTGAGGGACGTGAAAGGCTTGCACAGATTGGCCTCCCCCAGACCAAAGCCATTACTGATAAACGGGCTTCGTCGTCCTCCCCAGTAGGCTTGCCAACTGGATGCTTCCATTCGGCAGGAATCCAAGTGATTTGTATGCCCCGAGAAACCACCTTTATCGGGCATAAGGCCTTTGCGCGGTGTCAGCAATTAACCGAAGTTGATCTCTCGCAGACACAAGTGGACATTGTGCACATGCAAGTCTTTGCACACTGCCAGTCCTTGGCGCGAATATCCCTGCCAAGGCATTTAACGGAAATTAGTGCAGAGGCCTTCGAAGCCTGCGGATCGTTATGTACAGTAGCCCTCCCCCAGCAGCTTCGTTACATTGGACACAGGGCATTTGCAGGGTGCAGTAAGTTAGTGTGCCTCACCTTTCGAAGTACGAAAGCCAGCCGACGACGCCTGGATATTGCTGCCAATGCTTTTGAGGGGTGTCAGACATTGACTATCCCTGGAGGGGTTTGCTATCTATCCTTGCGTGGCAGTCAAGGCACTCAAGGGAGCATATCCCGGGGGGTCGAGATTACAAAATGGAACAACAGTACCAGGTGAAAAGCACTCCGACGGCTGCCCGTGCAGTTGTCCGTCTCCCAACCTCCATAGTGAAACCATAGTGAAACCATCAGATAGGTAAGGCCGATTGTGGTCTGCCGCAGGACCTTTAGGCTCGAAGACAGGCGCACACTGCCGGGCCAAGGACTGTAGGCCATGATAATAGCAGACCACATATCAGTGACTAGCTCACAATGGAGCGATGAAAGGTCAATGGTCTTACACCTGATCTTAACCACACTGGCGGGAGAGGAAACCCAGCTGACAATCGAGCTGCAGGAATTTGATCGCCTTCATGAATTCGAAAATGCAGTCTTGGAGCAACTCCCCAAGCTAGGAGAGAGCAGCACATTTGGCTGTGAGCTGGACTTTGTCTGCCGTGACTCACAAGAGAAATTAGTGGACCCAATATGGCACACCTTACGAGATAACAATTGTTTTATTACTGTCATCTCGAGCCCATGCTTTGAGGAAGTTGACCACAAGGGGCAAATGAAAGGTGATGCGAGAGCCATTCGAGTCCCGTATCACACCACAGACAGAGTTCTCCCGCAAGCCTTCTCTTATGTCATGGAGGTACGGCGTGTGGATGTTGACGCAGGGCTCCGCATTATAGGGGAGGCTGCATGACGTAACTGCCAACGCCTCCAGATTGTGCACTTAGCTAGCACTGTCATCTGCTTAGAAACACGAGTCTTCCGCAGATGCTATGCACTCCGCACGGTGATTGCCCCTGGCTGCAAGCAGTTTGGGATCCAAGTCTTTGAAGATTGTTGCTCCCTGATGCAAGTTGGAACTAGTGAGGATACGGCCAATCAATTAGCCCCGCAGGCAGAGTTGATGCCTAGGGCCTTCGAAAAATGCACAGCGTTGCGACACCTCGATTTGGGGCAGTCAGAGCACAACACTCCTGGTCGGACACGGTGCTTGCCAGAGTGCTGCTTCCTACATGCTGGAATAACCTCCCTGTCCCTGCCTCCAAACTTTAATTGGATGGGACCAGCGGCCTGCGAACGTTGCCTGCAACTGCAACAGGTAAACCTCTCAAGCGCAGAAGTGACTGAGATCATGGGCTCTGCCTTTGCACACTGTAAACACTTGCAATCCCTACGGCTTCCACACAAATTGCGAATCATTGAGCAAGAAGCTTTTCTCAAATGTACCTCCTTGACAGAGGTCAGCGTGCCGCCTACGCTGCTGTATATTGCAAGACGTGCTTTCGCTGGCTGCACGCGGCTCAGTCTATTTCAAAGAGTTGGAAAACGCAGGACTTGGAGAGGAACATATTCCAGGGCAAATGCGTTTCTCAAGTGTGACAATCTTGATATGCCACAGTGGGTTCGTTGGCTGCCACGCATGAGGATAAATGGGCGGATGACTCCTTTGAAGTCCTCAATTAGGGGTAAACTTCTAGAGATGCATGCAGCTGCGCTCACAGCTGGCACCCGTGTGCTGGCCCTGTCCACATCAAAGGCCACCCCTCTCGAGTGCCCCACCGAGAAAGCTGCCCACTAAAGAAATTTCTTGGTATGCCGAAAGTGCCAACGACCAGGACCAAGACAGCAATTGGACCGACTGACACACGCTGCCATCCACGACTGCAAATAGTGTCTAACACCTGCATGCCAGCCTTTCAGACTGCGCCCGTGTGTTGGTCCTGAGAATGCCACTCCATTTCGGTTTGCTCTTCACCTTTGCTAGCCTGAGTAGCTAGACAGTGCCCAGGCTGCTACCCGTGTAGCGGCACTGGATGAGTACAGTGTACAGACTTAGGAAAGCGGCGTCTCACCTCGTCTCACCCATTTTCGAGTAGTTCATGGGGCATTGCGCGTGTCGGCCGATTTTTACCTGGCCGCGTTTGAAAGGAGATGTCAGATACCTGACTGCAGTGTCACTGAAAGGAAGAATGCACATCTTTTGCTGTCCGTAGGAGCTTTCTCGCCTTGCTTCCGTTGCTGAGCCGTTTTGGAGTCGGGGCGAGAACGATGCACTCCTTCTGTTGCCTCCTCCCCCCTTGGGGGGGGAACGGGACAGGCAACTTTCCTGTGGCTCACGTGTACTACACTGCAGTGTGGCATTACACTGCCCCTTGCTTTTGGCTATTTTGGAAATTCCGATCACAAGTGCAGTGGTCTTCCTCTAGTTGCCACATCATGCCAACTGTGAGCCCCTGATCACCATGGCCCACATCAGCGGAACAACAGACGGCCGCCGGATCTGGCACCCTAGTGTTCTCGCCCAATGCAGTATTGACATGCCCAGTGGCCTCACACTGTGGCCCTTCGCAGACGACCCACACATAACG